GTGCAGGGATGCAGGAGTTTTCAGGGTGCAGGGACACCCTCCAGAACGTGCACCCCTGGTTTTCTCAAAGGGGACCCGGGGCCCATGGAGAGGGGGCAGTGACCACTTATCGGTGTTCCGGGTGACCCAGGCACAGCTGGGCCAGCCCTCCCCGCACTGGGCTTCCTTGCGGTGAAGTCCTGGCCACGGAGGCGTGACTCCCCCAGCAGCCACGTGCATGGACCCCAGCTGCATAGCTCCAGGACGCCCCAGACGTCCCCAGGTCCCCTCCAGCAACCACGGCCCCTCGGGAAGCAATCGGGGGCACGTGCCTCTGCCCTCGCCGTGCGCTACGGGGCCCAGCTGGCTGCTTGGCACAGCCGCGGAGCGGGCACCCATCCTGCAGGACACAGATGGTTCCTGTGACTCCTCCAGGGGGAATGTCGGGCTCGGGTCGTGGGTCGGAGGTCCGGAGACTTTGCTGACAGTCTGGGGAGGGGGGTGGGCCTGTCTCTTGTGCCTTAGGGGGCACAGAAGCCACCTGCCTCCATCGGCTGCCGGCAGGGCCAGCCCGCCCAACAGACAAAAGAGCACAGGGACCCAGGGGACAGAAAATGGGGCTCAGCAGAGCCATCCAGGCGTCCCTGGACCCCGGTTTCCTGAGGCACATCCCCAAAGGCAGGGCAGGACTAAGGGGACCCCCTTCCCTGCCCAGAGCCCAGGCCCGGGAGAGCTCCCTGTGAGACGTCAGAGAAAACCATTGTGCGGAGCCACAGAGGGCCCAGGACCACACTGCAGGCCGGCCACAGAGCACAAAGAGGCCATCCTTCTCGGGTGGACACTGGCCTCTGTCACGGCGACCGGCACAGCGCCGGGCCCCACCCCAGCTGGCACGCAAACGGGCTACTTCTTGCTTTGTTTCACTTTTTGTTTCTTCTTTTAGAAGAAAAATGGTGGGAGGCCCCACTGGGCTGCACGCACGGTCCCGCCACTGACAGTGCCTTCTCCAGCTGAACCCGGAGCCCCCACCCGGCCGTGTGTCCACCATCCCGGTGTGGACTGGGCGCCCCTCTGTGCCCTGCGCGTTCTAACTGCTGGCGGTCAGCAGGGGAAGGCAGCGGGTTCCTGTCCACAGGACTCACCCACCGGCCGGGAGAAAGGCTGCAGGCAAATAATCACACAAACGCACATTCGTCGTGACACGTGCTCCGGGCGTGAAGAGAGCGTTCAGAACGACCACGGCAGTGACTGTCTGCAGCGAGCTCTCTGTGAAGGGGGAACTTGAGCCAGGCCTGAGCGTCCGGCTCAACGAGCAAAGACTTGGGAGAAGGGCGGCCGAAGCCCAGGACAGGACGTGCAAAGTCCCTGGGGCCACAAAGGAATGGACACTAGATGCGGCATGACCAAGCGGGGACAGACGCCACGGGGGCAGGAGCAGGGGGTCAGGAAGGGAAGGGCTGCAATGTTGTTCTAGAAGCAAAAGGCAGCCACAGAAGGTTCCGGAACCTCATCTGGTTTACACTGTGACACTCCCTCTGCTGGGGAGTGGAGAACAGTGTGGGGCTGCCCAAGGGGAGAGGGGGAGGGGTGGGGAGGCCACTCAACAGGTGGCTGTGATGTGGCCCAAGCTGGACAGCCTGCTTCCGCTCCACGGAGGGGGACAGACGGCGATCGGACGGGGCGCGCGGGGGAGCACAGGGTCCTGCTCACGAGAGCCCGGGGCAGGGGCGCCCGTGCGTGAAGGGGAGGGAGCATCGCCCGCCTGGCTGTGCCCCCCGCCTCGCCCTGCCATCCGCCCTCCCGACCCGGGCATCTCGGTGCAACGCTCTACCGCCCAGAGAGCAGAAACCATCTGGGAGGTGGAGACAGAGCGCGTCTGGCGGGAGGAGTGCCCGCAGCCCCGCCCGCTTTCTCACGCCGCCTGGGGCCGGCCTGGCGCGGCCCGCGTGCCCCGCTGTCGTCTTCCTTCACAGACGGCAAGGACAAGCTAATGGCCCGTCTCCTCCCGCCTCCCAGGCCCTCACGGGAGCGCCCGGAGTCGGCCCCCGCGTCCAGGTCACTCAGCCGGTTGCCCACAGGAGCCCTGGGGCAGGGCACACCCCGTGGCTCTCCCTACCAGGCCTGGGCCGTCTCTAGCCCCGAAGCCGGATGCCCACGGGGCGGCCTGGCTGGCTGCCGCTCACAGCGCGCCCTGAGCACGGGCGTTGACGCTCCCGTCCGCGGCACCCGGGCCACGCGGGTTCAGTTCCACTCGGGTGCCGGCCCCCTCCAGAGGAGCCCCAAATCTGTCATGGCACACGGGCCTCCTCCTGCCCCCTCCCCACACAGACCACACTAGGCGCCCACAGAGCAGGATTTCGCCGGGACCCCGGAGCGCCCCTCCTAAACGTGGAGCACGGCCACCACCACACTGGGGCGGGTCGGCTCACCGTCCCCCAGTCCCAGAGGACAGTCATTACCCGCGGAGTCCGAAGCAGCCCCCGACCACAGCGGGCCCCAGATGTGCTCTGTGGACGAAATGGCTTAGAAGGCCCCAAATGCAACAGAGAAACATCAGCGTCAGCTCTAGGCCGTGGCCACAGCACGTAGTAAATGACTGATTAACAGGGACAACCTGAGGACAGGGACTAGAAGAGACACTCACACCTCGTTCATAGCGGCATGATCCACGACAACCAAGAGGTGGGGGAGCCACCCCGTGTCCCCTGACGTGACCAGACAGACACAGCGCGATCCATCCACACAACCCACTATCTATCACTCAGCTTCACGAAGGAAGGAAACTATGACCCTGCCTCAACGCGGATAAACCTCAAGGATGTGACGCTGAGTGACGCAAGCCAGACACAGAAGGACACGCACCGGGACCGGCTCCCTCGAGGTCCCGGGGTCGTCAGACTCACGGACACGGGAGGACACGCACCGGGACCCACTCCCTCGAGGCCCCGGGGTCGTCAGACTCACG